AATAAATAAAGGACCAAGAAAGCAGCCTCCTCCTCCATTTCCCGACCTGCCTCTCGGCCTCCAGCTGTGGGATGGCTTGATTCAAGGAAGCCCTCCCCACCCACCTGTGCAGGGCGGTCCCTGCCTCGAGCTCCAGCTGGGCCCATATCTGATAGCACTCATTCATCATCTGGGTGTAGAAGTCTTCAGAGTAAGCCTTTCGGATTATGCGGCTCTGTCCGTGGGAGCTTCCTCGGGAGTGCGGGAGAAAGAACTAGAAGTGAAGAACAAGAGAAATAACAAGATCCATGGCCCCTTGTGCCACATCCCTCTTCAGGAGCCATCTCATTGTGTCCTGTCAGCCAGAAGCTACTGATGCTTTAAATATTTCCATACAATCTTTCCAGAATTTCCCTTTATGGCCAGTTTATTGCCTTGATAAACTGGGGTAGAATTCTTCAAGAGAGAAATTCTTCGATGGCATTAACTTGGGACTCCTTTTTGAAAACATTGTTTGCATCTACAAGTCCCTTTGTTAGCTGGTCTTCAGTCATCATGCTGTGGTCTGGCCCTGTAACAGGGACTTAGAGGTTGGGTCTCCAGATTCCCAGTGGAAAACCAAAGGCAGGGTGAAGCTTTGCATCTCTGCCTACATTTAGGGGGTGGAGTGGGGAACAGAGTCTCATTACATAGGTCAAGCTGGTCTTGAACTCACTATGCAGACCAGGCTGGCCTCAAACTCACAGCAATCCTCCTGCCTCAGCCTCCCAAGTGCTGGGATTATAGGTGTGCACCACCATGTCCAACTCTGCCTTCATTATTTATATGTCTCCTTTCTTACTTTAAAAGTTGATGTCAGATTACAATTTGGCCCATGCATTCTTTTTGTGTGTGTGTGTGTGGTACCAGGGATTGCACTCAGGTCCTTGCGCTTGCGAGGCAGGCCACCAAACTGCTGAGCTAAATCCCCAGCCCTGGCCCATGCATTCTTAACTGTTTCTTTGGCTTTGTCTCCGCCAGATTTAAAAGCTAAGCAGCTACCAAGATAACAACACCTGGCACCTACTGAAGGCCTTTAGATAGACCCTCTGTAGAGTAACTCTAACTGCTGATCACAACTATGACCCTCTCCAGCTGGAAGTAGCCAGAGCTGTCTTCGCCCTTTGCCCCCTCGCAGCAGTTAGGGGTGCTTCTTCAGACCCGGGAGTACTACAGATAAATAAGTTAATTAGATAACTTATAGACAGTTAGACTGGGCTACCCTCAAGTAGCCAACACAGCAATTAGCCAACATGGAGGAAAATCAAAACACATTCACTGAAGGCCAGAATTACAAAAGGAGAGAAACTACTATACTCTTGTGCTTGCCTGGGATAAATAGCAGCAATTGATATTCTAAATAGGTACCAACCACCTGGGTGAGGGACCAAGGTCTTGACCCAGCCTTTCCAGGAAATATCCCTGACCCCCCACCCTTACTGTAAATCCTTGTAAGCTTTCTATGTGACTTGTTCCCCCACTTGACCCCCATTTAATCAACAGTACCTGGGTACTGTACTTGTAATCTTACTGGTTGGTCATGGTTTTGCCCCACCTCATGCCCACCCTGTAATTTTCCATTGGGTCTTATAGTTTTGTCCTTCTTTGTCCCTGCCTCACATGGCTTTGCTGTATAAAACATTTGAAAAGTGGGGTGGGTGGTCAACCCACTTTCTGGTCCCCCTTCTGTCTCTCTTAGACAGAAGCTTTCTCTTTCCCTTAATAAATTTTTCCTACTCTTAAAGAAAAAAAAAAAAACTTTGTGTCAGATCCCTGCTCAGCTTTGTATGTAGGCAGGTTAGTCACTTAAAAAGAGTCTGTCTAAAAATTAGTAGTACAAGTTTATTAGCCCAGGGCTGGGGATTTAGCTTAGTGGTTCTGGTGCCTGCTTCGCAAGTGCAAAGACCCAAGTTTGATCCCTGGTACCAAAAAAAAAGTTTATTAGCCCTAAATTTACCTAGCTTTTCTTTCTTTTTTTTTTTTTTCTTTTGGGATGGGGGATTGAACTCTGGACCTTATACTTGCGAAGAGGGCAGTGGAACCACTGAGCTAAATCCCTGGCCCTTACCTAGCTTTTCTTATCTGCATTCAAGACCAAGGGCATCAAGTAAGAGTAATCTAAAAAATAATTTTCAGGATTTGCAGGCACATCCAACTGCCAGCTTTTACAACATCCAGTTCCAGACAACTTGGAGCAACGCTTAGAAGTCTCCAGCCATTGTCTTAAACCTATGGTCACCTCAGATTCCAGGAAAAGCAGAGCCTTACAAAGCAGGAGTCGTCATCCCAACCTCAAAGAACCAGTCCTGAGATACCGACCAACTGACATGCAAAGCCCCAACCCTTATCTTTGTTCCCCTTTCCTACAAAACCCCAAGGTTTGTGTCAGCCCTTCAAAGACTGAGCTCAAACTTCTTTGAGTCCTTTGGCCACACAGATTAAGATTTTGTTTCCCTGCTCTTCACCACTACTCTTCTCCTTGATTGGTATTTTGGGAATAGGTGGCCAAACCTGGTTTGTTTGGACCACTGAAAACATGGATTTTGCCCTAGTAACAGCCCCACTTAGACTCAGAGAGCAGAAGTAGAAAGACTCTTCTAAAGCTGAGCATGGTGGCGCATGCCTTTAATCCCAGCACTCAGGAGGCTGAGGCAGGAGGATCGCTGTGAGTCCAAGACCAGCCTGGGCTACATAGTGAGTTATAGATCAGTCTCAACTACATAGGGAGACCCTGAAAAAAAAAAAAAAAAAAAAAAAAAAAGAAAAGAAAAGAAAGAAAGACTCTTCTAGATTATTCTAATCTATCTACCTCATTTATGGATGAGGAAAACAATGCTGACTCTTTCTCTGTGGCTTCAGGTCACTCAGGATAAGAGAACTACCTTGGGATTTAGCAAAACTTGGAGAGTTTCCTGAGAGGAAGAACCAGGAATCCTTCGGGCTTTGAGCAAACTGACAGAGGAATGAAGATTTCTAACCACACAAGCTCATTACCGGGAAGAGTAAACTATAACCATCCCAGAGAGCTGCAGGCAGAATGGAAAGAGAGAGAGAGCCCCCTTCACAGGGTGGGTGGGCCTGCCCACTGAAGGACCTCCGCAGCTACCCAGGGCCCACCAACACATGTACTGTCATTATACCTGCATTGCACAGGATCGCTTTCCTTTAAGGAAAAATGAGACTTGAGTCATACTTCCTGTGCATCAAGCAAGGAGACTGCTATTACAGAGGTGACAGAATAAACAGAAGCTTCTTTGGGTTCTGCGATTAGGAGGTCCAAAAAATACAGAGAAGACTCCAACCTCTCAGGCTGAAATACCAACCTTTGCCTCTAGGAAAATTATCTTTACTTATGGTTACCTAGAGCAGAAATGATTATTTTCCTGGCCTAGACCAACCATTTGGGCACAGAAGAGACAGGAGAATAAAAATGAAAAGAACAAGCTTGGGTGTAGCGGTATATACCTGTAATCCCAGCACTTTGAGAGGATGAGGCAGGAGGCTCAAGAGTTCAAGCCCATCCTAGGAAATTTAGCAGCTTAGCCAGACACTGTCTCAAAATAAAAAATGAAAGAAACCTGGGGATGTAACTCAGTGCAAAGGCTGTGGGTTCAATCCCTAGTACCAAAGAAGAGAAGGAGGAGGAGACAGAGATCAAAGGAGGAAGAGGAAGGAGAACAACCTGAGCTGGGTGTGGTGGCTCATACATATAATCCCAGCAATTTAGGCTGAAGCAAGAAGATTGCAAGATCACACACACCATAAACAAAAACAGAAACATACAAACAAACAAACAGGGCCCAGGACATTTCTTGGTTAAGGGCCTGAATCAAGAGGCCGTGAAAGGAAGAAATGTGCCTAGAAACTTTGCTGCATGAGTTTGAGACACATCAAGCAGCTAAACTCCAAAACTGCACAGAATGTGTGATGATTCTAGCCTTTTGGCGTCACCCCATAACCTGCTAGATCTTTCTTGAAAGCCCTCCCAGACACAGTCCTTCAGGTCAGAAGGGCAGTCACACCGTACCTGCTCCAGCAGGAGGACCCTCTTCCCGTGTTTGGCCAAGTGGTATGTAGTGAAGCATCCCTGGATGCCTGCCCCGATCACAATGGCATCCCAGAGATCTTTCTGAGCAGCCATGGTTCCCACTTAGCCACAGAGTCCACAAAGGGGAAGGCAAACAAAGGCGGCTCCAGGAGGGAGGAAAAAGGCAAAGTCCAGCCTGGCCTGAGTTCCCACAATCCCCTGGGGCTGTGTCCTTCACAGTTCTCCCTCCTCCAGAGCCTGGCACAGGGCTTGACCTCCACCTCCCCTGCAGAGCATGGCTGCTAGTCTGATTTGTGAGGTTTAGCCCAGCTCAGCTGCCAGTCTCACCCTTAGATCCCTCTAGCTTTCTATTCTTGGCTCAATTATTGTCATGCAAATGGACTTCTTCCTATGCCACCTTCCTGTCTCATTATGATCTTTGTCTCAGGACTTCAGCCCTGGAATTTCAATGCCTCCTAGACCAAGCTGGGCACCGGGAATGCTGCCTCCCCCTGCTGGTTTTCCACTCTTCAGCCTAATTTCCTTTAGAGAATCCACGGGCCAGCTAAGAATTTGGCAGGATGCCCAGGGTAAGGCCCACCTCCCTCATGGGTGGTGAGGTCAGGAAGTAGACGCAGGGCCAATTGGGAGGGCAGTTTTGTGATTATGAAATTATTCTCAGCGTGTGTTACTTTCACTTTGGGAAAAGGAAAAGAAATGATCCTGAAAAAATGCAAAGGGCAGAGTGAGAGGAGGAGCCCTCTCCTCCAGCACAGAGAAGGAACCGGGCACAAAGCTACTACACGGAAGGGCCCTGTGTGGAGTATCCCTCAGTGTCAGGCAGCATGCTCAATAAGTGCTGTCACAGGCATTGGGGACAGAGGCAGCACTTGTAGGTCCTTAACACAAAAGAAAAGGGAGCGCAGAATGTAGCTCAGTGTAGGGCATACACTTAGCATGCTCAAAGTACTGAGTTCAACCCCACACCCAAAAAAGAATTATGAACACAGGTGCTAAGACTTAGAAGAGGGCCGGGGATTTAGCTCAGTGGTTCTGCCGCTTGCCTCACAAGCACAAGGCCCTGAATTCGATCCCTGGTACCAAAAAAAAAAAACAAAAACAAACAAACAAAAAAACTTACATGAAATCATTAAATTATGGAGCCCTATGTTTGAAGTTTCATTAGCTTCATAGTACAGCTGCCTCTCAAGACATTATCTCATTGAATCCTCATTGAATGCCCCCGGAATAAATATTATTTTTTTTGTTTTGTTTTGTTTTGTTTGTTTTTGGTACCGGGGATTGAACTCGGGTCCTTGTGCTTGCAAGGCAGGCCACCGAACCACTGAGCTAAATCCCTGGCCCAGGAATAAATATTCTTATGCCCACTTTTGGCAGAGTAAAGATAGCCCCAGACCCACTGATACCCCCCTGCCCCAGGAATAAATATTCTTATGCCCACTTTTGGCAGATTAAAGATAGCCCCAGGTTCCTTGTCACTCTTCCCATCACAGGCTCTGTGACTGTTTGACCATAGAATGTAGTGGGAGCCATATATGACTTTCTGTTCTAGACCAGCTTCCTCTTTTTGTCCTAGAGCACTCATTCTTAGATCTCTGGGCTGCCATGTTAGAAATCCAACCACCCTATAGGAGAGGCCAGGTAGATACAGATCCCAGGACAATACTGAGAGCCAATCATAAGAGAGAAGCCAACTTGAGCCCTCCAGCCCAGCCTACCCACCAGCTGAAATTGCTGAGTGACCCAGTCAACAGCATATGGCACAGAAGAAACACTTAGCCAAGCCTCTTTGGAAATCATGACCACAAAATTCATGAGGCAGAATAAAATAGTGGTGCTTTCAGCCACTAAGTTGGGGGGGGTAAGTTGTTTTTGTTTTTTTTCCAGCCATAACTGAAACACTACTTAATAGCCAAAGATAGTAAAGCTAGAGGGGGTGTAATTTACCAAAGCCACACACCTGGTATATGCAGATGCTGAGATGCGAACCCAGCTCCATCTGCTTAAGAACCCTTCCCTTTAAACACTATGCCATGCTGAAGATTAGTCAGAGCTTGTAGTGATGATTCTGATTTCAATATTTTGCTGTTTTTCTTGTGGCCATACGGTGAGTGGGAGAAACAGTCATTCGGGAAGCCCATATGACTACAGGAAGCTGCCCAGCTTCAGCACAGTGGCCCACTGAGACCCCAGCTACCCTTCTCATTCCACAAATAATCCACCAGAATAGCCTTAGCAACTAGCTGTCCTCTCAGGCCAGCCCTTTCTTTCCCAGAAAAAATAGGAGCCCAGAGAGGGTGCCATCTGACTTTCCTTCTGGAAGAAAAAAAATCATTTTAGAATCTAAAGGTCAACTCAACTCTATGTCACCCACACCCCACATAGTACAGGCTAGCATCTGCCTCACAATTGGACAGCTCTCTTACAGTAAAAAATAGCAGATATAACCAAGAAAAATATGCTACACTAAGTATGTAAAGGCTTGATAGAAATCTATAAGATCAACCCCCGGATTTCTCTTGATAAGATGTCAGAGGAAATGAACAGTTTACACACAAGGAAAAGCAGACAATAAATCCTTCCATGGAAGTATGCCCAGTTTCACTAGCAATGAAAGAAATAGGAATCAAATAACTTCAAAGTCTTATCATATGCCCATTAAATAAATAAAAATAAATGAAAATGACACAATCTTATGTTGCCCATGCTATGGGGACAGAGATAGAGTAGGGTGGAAATTCGGGCTGTCTGGATCTTTTATAAAAAGCCAGGGCAATGCTCAACAACCAAGGTAAAATGATTCAAACATTCTGACCCCAAATTCTGCTTGAAGAACTGTTTCCCAAGGGGAGAAAAAGGCAATTGTATGGAGACGTGCATACAGAGCTGTGCTTTTAAAATATAAAAAAAAATTGGAAGCAGGCCAACAACAGGAAATAGCTGAGCAAATTCTGGAATAGTATGTAGCTATTCCAAATGACAGGCACGAGGACACTGCTTTGTGGAAATGCATATATGAAACGGTACTGAGAAAGAAATGCAGAGCATAAATAGAGCCTCGCGATCACAGCCATGTGTTCAGTCTGTGCGTTATCAAAGATCTGAAGAGAATTTGGTGAGGTAATTGAGCTTAATGCTTATTAGTTCCTGTATTCTATAAAAAACGGTGCTTCCATTCACAGTTTGTAAAAGGAGGAGAAATCCCCTGGGGAAGCAAATGCTTCAGATCTCCCTGGTCACCAGTTCCTGGGCCCAGGGAAGTTTTCTTTGTTCTCTTCTCGGTTTTTCCTGCTGCCCCCCAACACTTCTCATTCAGCCCTCCCTTCTGGGGAAGCTGCGGCCTGGTCTGTATCCCCCACCCATCTAATAGAATAACCCTTCAGAGACAAAAATGACAATTCCTTTTCCCATCCCTATTTCACAAGCTGCCCTCGATTCCTGGACTCAAGCATTTTGCTTCTTGTTAAGAATTTCAAACAGCTCCTCCAAAAGCAGACACTGGCCATGGCCCAACCTTGAAACGAAAAGCAAATCGACTTCTGAAGGCTTCCCCTTCTCTCAGGGTTGCCATCCTTGTGGATGTCCTGACACAGGCAAGCAGAGAGATGCGATCCCCTCAAATTCCATTTTAATACCCATTCTGGATCGGAAGGCTATTAAAGGGAGAGCCAGCAGCCCTACACCTTGCTGCTTGTGTGTGTCAGCAATCGCTGCTCATGTCCTGGGGCAGAGACGCTGAGGATGTGAAGATGAGCTGCTCATCCGGTGGTTTGATTGACACTTTGCAGACAGGGGTGGGAGAACCGAGCTAGGGAAGCAGCAAGCTGTACAGCTCAGAAATAATGAGAGGACCTGAATGGAGAGAGAGCATGGAATAAATAAGAGAGACCTTGGAGTTGAACGGTAAGGGAGAAGTTTCCATTCTGTTTCCCCTGCACATTTCGTCCAGGGGCTGGAGCCTAGGGCAGGCAGCCAGGCAGGCAGACCTGGAGGATCCCCTGCAGACCCATCCTACCAGCTGCCGGGGGCGCCTGGGACCCTGAATATGCAGAGGATGCCAGCCAGCAGGAGAACACACAGAGCAAGCTTCGTGTGGTCTTGTGCACATCGTTGACCCACTTCCTGTCTCAGGCTGAATCCCCTCTCCTGCGTCTTTGCTCTTGGTCATCCAGCCATCTTGGCTCGCCTAGAGGGTTGCATTAACCTCATAATCCATTCTCCTTGTCTCATCCTTGCCCCTCTTCTTGACCTGTACTCCTTGTTCCTGACAGAGACAGCTCTCTAAATGGCAAATCTGCACAGGTCACTCACTGCTGAAATTTTTTTCATAGCTGTCCATTTCCTATCAGAAAAAAAAATTCACACTGCTTAGCCTGGCACACAAGGCCGCTCACGTCTGGCCTCCACCTGTTCCTGCAGCACTATTGCTGCCGCTTCTCGCTGTGCTCTGGCGATACTGAGCTGAGAGAGGTTCCAGCATTCACCCTGATTATTCCAAGCTCCCTGGCACTTCTGAGCTGACTTAGACAGCTTCTCTCCTATACCCCCCTTCCCATCCTGCCAGGTCTTAATGATAACAGTGTGCACATTGTTGTAATTGTTTGAGTGTCTGCCTTCCCCTTAAGCCTCTTAAAGACAGGGAGTCTTCTTTTCATGTCATTTTTCATAGGTAGCACAAACACATGGAACAACAATAAAACGAATGAAAGAAAACACAGTGGTCTCCTTTTCACTCTGTCCTTGGTACTCAGTTCTCCCACCAGATGCAACATAGTTGTTTTTTCCTTTTGTGTTTTTTTAAGAGTTATTCTATGAACGTACAAACATGTTTATACATATAGATACAGATACAGGTATATTAATCTCAAACGTAGCAGGCTATACAGCACCTTGAGGTTTTCACTTCATCTTGGCAATCCGCAATGGCCACATGGGGTGAGCATATTTTCCTGATGGCCAAATAGTATTCCACGGTGTGGAGGAGGCCTTGGGCACAGAGAAAGCAAGTGGCGAGGCTCCCTGGCTATCACAGGTGCCTCAGATACACGTGGCTCTCCTCTGGTGTTGGGTGTTCAGGATGGGCCCAGCAAGGTGTCCTCTGCGACAGTGACCACCTCCGGGTGGTGGGGGAGGAACACCCAGAGACCTTGATTTCTGTTATCTGCCGTGTCTTT